CAATCAAGTTAATACTAATGACGATCAGATACTCATAACCATATTACCGCGGTGCTGCCTTAAACACCATCAGGCATACTGACCTTGGCTTCCATCTTACAAGCCTCCGTTACAGGCTTTCTGGCCAACGCCGCCCATTCAGTCCCGTTCACATGGAATTTCGCTGGATTTAGTCCGCTCCGCCGCGTGGCACGAAGGTGTACGAGAAACCAGACAGGATCAGCATTTAATGCAGCTATAAGAGACGAATACGTGTCCGAAAGGACTGCGCTAGGCTGATGGACAAAGGACTGGAACATAGTACTAGTGCGTGTATGACGCCACCTTAGAACGAGCGCATGAAAATAAGATGTTGTTGTGTCCCAAGCACACCAGAACATCGGACGGACCACTCTTGACAGAGACAACATGGAGGGAAAGGTGGATTTGGCAGCTCAAGGCATGCATGAATTGCAGGGGTCCGCTACAAAAAAGATTGCAGTGATACATTGGGTGGTATGAAGGATCATAAAAAACTGGGTATGAGGGCGTTTCGTGTGCAACATCATGGGGTGGACATCAAGATTAAGCACAGGTGCGTACTATGTGCAAGAATTCTTTTGCGCAAAGTCGACGACATGATTACGAGAGATCTGAAGGAACAAGGGCGGCCAATGAGCAAAAAAGCGACAACTACAGGAAACGACTTATAACAGATAGACAGCAAGGAACACAGAGGGGGAGAGCGAAAAGGGATGGCTTACGTTACATGAATGCAATGAGAATTCTAACCCTGAAAAAACCAAAGGCGTAATGATCGACCAATAATGGCCACCAGTAAACTGGTGAGACTCAGATATTCCTAAGATAGGCCTCGTTCATACTCTGGTTCATCACGTGACCTAAGAGGTCAAAAACACATCTATGTTCTGGATCCTAAAGGTTGGTTCAGTCCGGACCAATTCAATATAAATATTTTGAATTGTCAGACAAGGGAACAAGCATCAACAAACTACGATACGACTACGAAGAAACGCTAACAAGGATTTTGGGGAAGAAACCATTTTGGTTTGTTCGACTGAAACACAACTTCAGGTTCTGAAAGAAAGGAAAGCATGAGCAGAGATCCCCAAAGTCTAGGAGCGACACGACGCAGCTAGCGCATGCTTGTCCCCAAAGGATAGTCGAAGAGCAGAGACTCACAAGTTTAACGCATGGGCAGCAACGCGTATCGCGTGAAAGATTGTAAAACAGAACTATCGTGGAGGTAAGGAGCCATGACAACGGTGTGTTGACGAAGATATCCGAGGAAAGCATCCCCGCTCCAACGTCCCATGGCTTTCACAGTCTCAAAGGGAACTCCCCGCAGCAAGTACTCCAGAGTACCCCCGATACGAATTCCGTGACCTTTCAGCCCTTCTAATCCCAACGTGGACAAAGCGCTGTCAAGTCGACGCAGAAATTCCGAACGTGTTAGTGGACGCAATCCATTCTGATGCCGCCAGCTAAAGAGCGCGCTCTGTGCGGATGGCGCATTGATGCGTAGATGTGCCTCCAGTTCCTGCTGGGGATCAACCTCCCCAGTTTGGGGGGCGAAATATAAGTCTTCTCCCGAAGGCGACATCTTCGAATGAGGTAGTCGAATTACCGTGACCTTCAAACCGTGGCGGTCTTCGGCAAAACGCACGTCTGAAACTGTGGTGTGCAGCGATGGATCAAAGGTGCTCAAGGATCTTACGGTTAATTTGCCTAGACGAGCAAGCGTGAAGAAGGATGTTACTAAGCATGCATATACAGCGACGTTGAGAGGAACTGTGAGATCCAGCGCCGAGCGCAGTCTGAGGATGATCGTGAGAGTAAAAGGGTGGCGTTTGGGACGTTTGGAGTGCGGAGGAGCTAAACGTGAGGCACCTTCTAGAGCGGATGTTATCTCTTCAGAACCCCCCAACCAAGCAAGTCCGTGTAGAACATGCCATGCTCTTACCCCATACAAATAATTCTCTAGCATTTTCCCAGAATACATCCCGGCACACGTTGCGATGAAACTTAACAGCAATAGCGAAGACGCTGGTCCCCGTTGATCCTCAGGAACTCCTCTAGCATCGCAGAATACGTGATATACTAACAGTCCAGATCCATAGGCTTCTCTTGTGCCTGAGGCGAGTGAATGACCGACGATGGTGAGAATGCGATTGAGATCGTCGTCGGACAGAGGTAATGCTTCTCCCGTGTGGTCACGGGCCACGCGGCTCTGAGACAGACACCAGAGACGCAAACAGTCTCGCGCCAGACAGTGCGGACGCAGCAATGATGGCAGAGGAGTGAGAAGCGGGGTATAGGGACGCGGCTGCATGCCAGGCTGATCAAGCAATGGTAAGGTTTGAGCCATGACAAATCTGGAGCAACTAATCCCGCCAGGCGTCTCGGAACTTCCACAACTCTGCTCCATAGTCCCAGCTTGTAGGCCTGTCAACCAACGGGTGAGAAGATGAGTCCCATTGATGACGGGCGTTACTGGAGTGGGTTCGTGGTTCAATGAGGTTGGGCAAGCTGTCTTGGATGAAACAGGAGAGTTCATGAGGAATTTCAATGGGGGGAAGGAGGAGGTTAGCCGAGGGAAACTTTCCTCTAGAGGGAGCATCTGCTGGATTGTCGCAACTGGGTATGTAAGAGAGGTGGAATGAAGTGCCCGGGCTGAGCGGCTCGAGTGAATTGAGGATTCGTCGAAAGACGACGTTTGTAGCCCAGTTCCGGCTTCGACCATTCTTCCAACCCTCAACAACTCCGAGGTTGTCGCAGTGCACCCTAAAATGCTGACCTGTGGGGTCAATACTGAGCCTGATAATGCAACGTACGAGCAACTCAAATCCAACTGCTTCTGCCCACCCAATGTCTTTCGCTCCGTTGAGAGTACGCCATCCTGGTAACAACGTCCACGCCCTCCAATGCCCATGGATAATAACTGCGACTCCGACGCCAGAGCTGGCATCAGAGTAGGCGTGGGCGTCGATGATGCGAAATGGTTGAGGGATGGGTCGGTGGAGTGTTGCATTGGAGAGTTGCTTAGTCCACCAGGAGAGATCGTCGACGAGATGCCGCACGGAGTGATGTGGCACGAAAGGACTTGCACTGGAGATGCTGAGCATGCACTCCATGGAGGTAAGGTAGGCTCGACCATGTGGTACCACGAGACAGGTGTGAAGCAATTTGCCGTAGAGACGTTGTACTTCCAACAGCACATGAGTCGGTTGTTCCAGCCAAGTTGCAATAGCCATAAGATACTTCGACCTTTTGGCGTCGGCCAATGCAATGGTAAGGCGAAGAAGGTTCCAGAGAAGGCCGATGAAGATGGTAACGTGCGCGAAGGGCGTGTCTTTCGCAGGTTCCCAGGGAATTCCCATGTCCACCGAGTTCCTGTCAATGTCACTGAAGTCACAAGTGAAACGGGCGTCATCTTGAGAACGAGGTAAAATATGTGAGAAATTCGATATTGGAAATCGGCAATCCTCCCCAAACACTTCCAAGGTACCATCTTCAAAAGAGGAACCTTCGAACCAGAGTCTACTACCCGTCTGATGAAAAGTACTAGGAGACAAAGTAGTATGTAAACTTTGACGATACAAATTGTAACTAGCAAGATGTTGCCGCTCAATACGAAAAAAGAGATGATCATCCACCCATTTTGTGAGTGGACCCAATCCGGCAGCACGCAGAAGATCAGCTCCAGCGTCAGCCACATATCCATACGCTCCAGCCGAGGGACCCATGCCGAACGATGTGCAGGTGTCCACGCAGTATTCATCCTCGTCGATGCGAATGACCGTGGCAGGCCATTGAGAAGGTAACAAGGGAATAGTCCGATACGCTTCTGCCACGTCTCTCGTCGCCGCTTGAGAACCAGGTGGCAGATGACGAATAATGGAACAAACCGTGTCAAACGTGCCCCAAGTGCACGGGAAGTCGTCAGAGTCCACGCAGGAATTGATGGAAGGGGAAGGGTTGGACGGAGAGCATAGATAAGGAAATGAGAAGTTTTGGATAACGCGAAACTTGCTGGGTTTCCCACTTTTTGGTATGATAGAAACGGGGGATGTTTGAAAGGCGCCCAGGAGGTCAAGGAGTTGAGAACGATGGAAAGGTCCAATGTAACGACCGGTCTCCAATTCTCGTTCAATGATGCGATCGAAAGCTCCATGATGCTGGGAGAGTGAAGGGTGATTCGGAGGAGTCTGCGAGACAATGAGATGAGGCAAGTGCAGGTCAAAACCAAGACAAAAACCAGCAGGAATTTTATCATAGCGAGAAAGGAGTTCATGTTTTTGGAGCAGGTGCTCCCAAACGTCCGCATTATACGGGCACACCGGTTGTAGTCGCCTGAGCACGAGTGCAATACTGGGCTCCATGGGATGGTGAGAGGCATCCGGAGCAGAGATGCCGTTCGTCGTGATAACGCGTTGAACACCCTCTTCCTCGCTGCCAATCGACACAGAGAGGCTTTTCGGAGCTGCGTAGCAGTAACTGACGTTGGACCCGCTTGCTGACGGTGAGGGAGGAGTTGTCCCACAAATGATCGGCTGAGCACTCGACGAAGGAGTGATTGTGTCGTCCGAGACATACGGCGCACACGGGTGAAGGACATTGTCCGTGTGCGCCGTTGGAAAAACCCGAGGGAACGCGGGCGGCCTTATCAGAACGAGAAGGCTTGTTACGAGAGGGGGTGGAAGATGAACGATGTTCATCCCCAGGCCCATTGGGCCTCTCGTAAGGTGTTCCCGCAAAACTGTGGTTACTCTTCCGAGATCGACTCGACAAAGAGTCATCGTTGGAGGGAACGAAGGGAAGACCATGCATCCGCTGTGGGTTCAGCCGAGATGTAGTCCGGCCCACCACCACGGATGTCACCAGGATCAGACGCGTGATACCAATCGCAAACGCAAAGAATTTGCCGCATAACGCCAACAGTACGAAGTACAACGCAAAACGCCCCAGGGAGATGTGAGAAAGTTAATATTTGAACGAAATTAAACGAAGAACATTAGTACAACGATAATTTGAGAAAGGAAGCTACGGACCTTCAAATCAAACTCCTGATTTACCCGTACTCGTTCGGCATGATAGAGCTGATCGTAGACACTTGATAACTCAGAATTGTCGAGAATGGAGATGTTCCAGGCCCCTGCCGGCTGAGGAATGGCCTGGTGCCACGCACGACGCTGTTCTTCTTGATAAGTGAGTAGAGCGCGTGTCTCCAGCGCATCCTCCGAAGTCCAGTACTTATGTAACATGAGGGCACCAAAGAAGTTGGCTAGCATCACGACACGGGAGTCAGGCCAACCCCGTTGTTCGAGAGAGGCGATAAAGCGCGGAATGGCTCTAGAGAAGTCGAGTGGAGTGAGAAGGTGGTCTGGAATCACACCCGCGGCAGGGCGAGCGGCGCTCGCAGATATCCATGTAGCGGAACCATCCACACCCGCAGTGGCAACCATGCTGTCGTCGTCCGAAGTACGATAATTTACCCTTGCATCAGCGAGTCCTTTGTTAGTCCAGTAGTATAGTTCTACGAATTGAGCCTTGTCAATTTTTCGTAAGGCGAAATCCGCGACAAGGACTTCATCAGTGGCCCACTTGGGGCGCGGGCGATCTGGAATGATGATTTGGTGTATGCGGTTCTTCTTCCTATCTTCTTCGGCGATAATGCTGTCCTGTAGCTTTTTGGCTGCCAGATCTTGAGCGGCGGCTTCATCTACTAAACATTGTTGTTTCTGCGCTTCCAATGCGTCGGACTCCAGCTGAAGTTGCCATTGGACTTTCAAGGCTGAGTTCGTCGCATGCCAGAAGGTACGCAATGTGGCAGCTGCTTGAGTGTCGTCCAAGTCGTTACTAAGTAGCGGGGCACGGCAAGGTTCAAAAACCTCGGAGGAATAATCCGGGCATTGTTCGAGATTGGGATCTGCAACGAGTCTGGGCATCTGTTGCAGAAAAGGTGATTTTGATTCTAAATATCGATGATTAGAGACTAGGGACTAGTGATAAACAATCAATATACGCGTGCTTGCGCCGAGTTGGTGGTAGCGAGAAGAAAAGGATGCTTTTCTAACCTTAATCGGACCCTACATAGACTTTGTTTTTGGCACGTGCTCGTGCCTCACACCTACCTAAAACCAGATCTTTGCCTCATAACTCTGCAGCAACGTACAAGTAGCAAAGACTGTTCCGTGATTTTGCAAGCATGTGCTATAGTATCAGAACACTCTACTTATAATCTCAATTTTCAGACAATCAAAGGAGGAGTAGGCATTTTGGTGGCAGATGCGCTGTTGTGACTCGTTGTGACTTTGGTGACCATCTGTGACCGTCGAACGGCGCCACAATCAGCGGTTGGAGCGCTCAGCGCTACTTCAGTCAATCACACATAGGTAGTAGCGGTATAGAGCATTTCCATTCACTGGTGCTTCCGTGGCATGTTGAGGTTGGTTGACCATTCAAGATGCTTGCCGAATTTCTTTTTTCTTCATTTCTATCTAACCCATCTTGGTATGCGGGTGGCGCTGATGTCACTCATTTTGCACATTTAAGCTTTTTGATAACTGTAATGCCTACTCGTTCCTCATTTTCTCGATTAAACTCGTAAAAATTACATGGGTGTATTGCCACATACTCTATGCACATAATCATGGAACCATTTTCAATTACACTTCATGTACAGCGAGCTACAGGTGAATTCAGTGAAATGTCACACTAAAGTCACGTGATGAACCAGAGTATGAATGAGGCCTATCTTAGCTGAAATGCTCTTTCCTAGACATGACGTTATAAGAGGCCCCCGGAAGCTCCCTATAATGTTCGGCCGAAAATTTGCCTGTTTGAGGCCAAAATTTTGCATTTTCCTTGTCCATTTTTGCCTATTTGATGCCTTGGGGAGCCACTCCAGGGCTCCAAACATGCCAATGTCTGTCCGATTCTTGCCTATTCTAGGCCTCCAGCCGACCTTCAGGGCAGGCTTTTTCAACTGTTGCTATGTGAATCTGTATGATCAATGAGCGCCAATCATCTCTAAGCTTGAAAATCTACATTGTGAGGTCTGTTCTGTGTGGAACATCGAAGTTCATTACTGTGATCTCTTCCCATTACTCAACCCCGGTCACAAATTGCCTAGTCCCATACTCAATGCTTTCGGGGCAATTATCCAGGATGTTCCCTGTGAGCAGTTTCATGCTGCTGATGACAATGATGGGGAGAGGCATTGGAATGCACTTACTTCTGTTGCAGTTCTGCAGAAGTTGCCAAAGTTGAAGATTCCCGGTGGGTGCATGTTAAGAATGTAGTTTCTTGAGATGTTTAGATAGTGCATTCACTTGAATTTGACCTGCCAAACATGCAATATTGCCTTGTCATACTATACTTCTGTTGTGACATTTTGTGACATGTGACTACCCTTGTCCAGTTTTGCGTATTCAACACTTGGAATCATGCCTATTTGAGGGCCATTTTGGAGGGTCTTGACGGCTGAACATCATAGGGAGCTTCCGGGGGCCTGTTATAAGACAATATAAAGTGATATATACCTCTGGGCCTGGCCTGATTACATTGCTTTATAGAGATATATTTCCACATCCACAACATATAATCTTATGATGACCTTGGAATGTTGTCCACCCACGTGCGTCTCGCGTGCCAGGGCACAAACTTCAAGCATGCCACTCTGCCCCGCTTGCTGGAAATCAATTACTATATTTTATTTTTGACACGACTTTTCTCCACCTTGCTCCATCTCTTACAACATATGGTGCCAAGTTCCCTGTCTCAACAATGTAATTCGCTCCACCTCACTTTCGCAGTATCATAAATGTGCAAATCAAACTGCATCATCATGAGGTATGGATATTTGCCACAAGATATAAACCCCAGTCCGTTGTGAAATTTTAGCATCCTCTGGAGATTCAATATTACATGAGCTTTTCCCACTGGCTGATATTCTACTTTCTCTTCAGGTCCTTTCCTGCCTGGCAACATCTCCCGATCGACTTCTTCATATATGTTGTTGGGTCAATGTGATGATTGATCCATCTGAATTCCCGGTATGTCCCAAATTCATTGTGCATAGTGCTGAGTGCTTACTATTTCATTGGTGTCACAGCTCATAAGTTGCGACTCGTGAGACATGCAAACATTGCAAGTTGCAGCCCACTGGCATTCTCCATATCAGGTGCCTCTCCCAGTACACCGACGAGCAATGATAATCAAGCTTTGATGAAGCCATGTTTAGGCATTCTCAAAAATCATGCATGGGGGGCCCTTGACTCTGTACCACCACCATGGACAGAATTCCCATGCTAAAAACGCGGGCAAGGATGAGCCATCGCAGCTCACAGCAAAAACTGGCCATTAAAACTTATAACATCAATAAAACAATAAACATATGTATGAACATCCTCCTCCTCATCACCCAAATGAAGCAACCCAACAACAACAGAACAAACAACACACCTGAAACACACCCCACACGCAACACCTATTGACGAACATTGAACCGAATCATCATAGGACAACCGACAACCAACACTCACCAAGAATACAAAAGATAACACCAATCACACCCAAATGTAAAGATCCACCCTCACACCATGCCCCATACTAACACACAACACCGCCTAAATTGCCCCCCTTGGGAAATCACAGCGACAATAAGTCTTATTAGACCACTGCCTCAATCAAAATTGAACTAAACCCAGCCACGATGCCCTCGCTGAACTAATCTGCCTCCCTAATCTCAACCAGCTGCGCTAGAAACAGAAGTATAAAAACCTGCAGACCCCACTCACTATCTTCGTCCCAGCAGACATGAAAGACAAGGAACCTTCTTCTATTAAGGCAGTATCTCAAGCCTCCCGCCCCTACCCCACCACTCCTCGTCCTAATCCACAACCCCCCACTCGGGACCAAAGTACTTTCCTCCTGACACTCTATAGGAAGACGTCAACTTAGAACAAGCCATGGATCTGATACCGTATAAACCCTCCCCACCCTCCCCACCCTCCCCACCCTCCCCCTCTGACACACCTACCCCCACGCCTCAGGGGAACCATGTGCACCCACTCCAACACGACCTCCTCGTATACCAGGATTTTAAAGTAACAATGTCCCATGTTGACGACGACAAACTGCCGAACAGTGACCTCACGAGTTCAATCCATGCACCGAATAACTCCAAAGGTGATCACCAAATGAGTGCCCCGCCAAGCTCCAAAGCAAGACATGAACCCACCGCTGAGGAACAAGCCATCCTAGATCATCTAGCTCTGGCTGACACGAACAGGTCTGTTCTCAGCCAGAATGGCCTGACTACTCGCACTGCCCTACCCCAGTTCACACCGACTCCAAATGGGGGATTCCCAGTAGTACATATGTCCCACTCAGCTCAGATATTTGACCACCTCGACAACAGAGTTCTCCTTGCCTGGTTCCAAGTTGAACACCCTAAGTTCTTAGTACGGGTGTTCGACCACACAGGAAAAGACGTTGCAGAGTGTGCTGCCATCCTTGCAGAGCGCATCCGTGCTAGCATCGCCACCATCACAGAGTTCATCCAACAAGATCCCCCTCATATACACGTCTCCCCCCACAACCCCAGGGAGGTAGAGAAGCGAAACACCTCCCAATGGGCTTCCTGGTCCACACAGTAACAGAAGAGACCAAAAACCTGATCCTAAACCAACATATCTGGTCCAACACGGACCTCACATTCGAAGCTCTCCCATTTAACTGCAACCACCCCCCAGAACTTTTGTTCTGTCTATCTGGCTACATGACCTTAGACACCCAGACCATCCTTCAGACCGTCCATGACACTTGATCGTGCGAGGAAAACCGCACACCCACAACTTCATCGAGTCCGCTCATGTCGAACTCCTCAACTTCAAGATAACGGGGGGACTGTCCGTCCCACGCTTTAACATCCTCTCCACCAGTCCCACCAATGATGCCAAGACCTGGACTAACCTGCACAGCTTCCTTAGCACCCTTAACTACCCAACCAGCTTTGACAGTTGTGGGACGTCGACAGCCCTCTCCGCATGCCAGATATGCCACTCGCTAGCCCACCCAAGAGGATTATGTCCATTTCCGCTCGTCACACTCTGGAATGGCCCCTGAATGGGCAATAGGAACACTGGGAATGGACTGTGCCAACCTGGGAAAACCAGAGGCGGAAATGGGAGACTCAATCGCAATGTCTGATATATTGTACAACCACGCCCCATGCCAAATTCCCTACTTTCCTACCTACAGCTAGATGTACCAAAACCTAACCCCCTCTCAGCCCACACATGTACCCATCCCACCTACATAGCCTAGCTACACACCCCATCCTACGTACATCAATTCCAGTCCTTTCTAAACCATACGAACCCCCACCCCCATCATATAATAAGCGCCACAATGGTTCTGTCCTAGGCCCAGCTCTGAAAGATCAAATGAACCGTTGCGAACGTAAGACAGGTTTGAATGAGACGCAAACCATCAAATTAAAGACACCTTGCCCAAATATACTGGTCATGGAAGCAAGACAGGAAAGCAGGAGTCGTCTCAAAACAGCATGGTGCACACCAGACCACGGAAACCTATTTAGGTTCGGACGAGCCATGCCGAGAGGCTTAAGTTTTCACTAGTAGATGATACCAATGTCCTGGGCACTGATAATTGTCGAAAACGCTAACATAGTCCACTGCTAATGGGCCAGACATGTTGATTCTAAGACTACATAATGATCATAATGTAGTCTTAGTAGTACGATCACCCCAAACACTCACATAAACTCCCCAAATCACGGTCGTTTTGTCGGTAGTGGTGCAGGCATCCTAAGTACCAGAGGAGGACCTCCTCAAACCACTGGGAGACCCTCCAATGACCGCTCTCGGGATTTCAGAAGTGGACATGCCAACCAAAGGCACACCCAACCCCAACATCAACC